AAGCAAAGGGAAGGGAGATCCACATAACGGGAAGTGCGAGAGAATAAGCTATTTGAGTAGAAGAGATGTTTCCATTGTAGACTAGATGCCATATCATGACCTTTCATATTGCGTATTCCTCTCTGGATTTTGTCGAGGACCTCGAGACGTACAGCGGGAACACCAGAAGCTTCTAATCATATGTCTGTGAAAGTCGGACAATCTCAAATGAAGAGACTTGATGCAATTGAGTTCATGTTCTACCGATGAATGCTGAGAATAAAATAGTTTCAAGAAAAAGATGACCTACACGAAGAGCTATAATTACAGTTAGAAGGAGACGCTTAAATATCTGGAATACATAACGAGGATAGATAGCCTAGAGATTTTAACACTCACAAGTAATGGTCAAAGTAAGTTAAATAAGTGGTAAATCGAGTACCGTATAAACGATTTTGAGCGAATGGATGACAAAACACATTACATTTTTTTTTCTTCTTCTATGTCTTGTAGACACTTATGGTTCTCCACAATTTCCTGCCCTTTGTATCTTAGTAAATTTTGTTTTTTTACCATCTGTGCTAATCCCTGTTCTTTTTCTCTCTTTTGTCCTTTTCTTTCTTGTCAGTGTCAAATTCTCCAAACCTTTTTTTTCATTATCTGCCCTAAAATTATTATATCAGATTTTTGTTTCCATTTTCTCTAAAACGTGATCGTTCATCACATGATCCGTTCATGGCATCCTCAACATCCTTCTGTAAACCTACATTACTGTTGCCCCAAGTCTGTTTTTCATATGTGAGGAGGTTGCCCAGCATTCACTGTCATACAGAACGGACATATTATGTAACATTTCAGTACATTTTTTTTTGTTTTAACAAAATTTGTCTGTTTCTTAATATATTGTGTACCTTTAAGAAGGTATATTTCGCTAGAGTATTTCCTTCCATTGTTAAAAAAACTTTCCATATCTTTAATTTTTTTTTGTATTCCCTAGATTTTGTTATCAGCAATTTGTAATTTGCTTACAATCATGCATTCTGTAATTTTACAACTGATTATTTAATCATTTCTTCTCTCTTTTCTTTACTACCTTCAAAAGGGGTTCTTCTAGTTTTCTCTCTGTACCTGCTATCAACACTTTTTCATCTGCATATATAAAGTTAAGATTGTGGCGGTCAATAAGGTAAGGTTTGTTCCACTGCAAAGGTTGAAAAAGTCCGGTTAGAAAGCACGCCCCTTTCTAATTTTGTGTTTTTTTTTTTAAGCAATGTATCCCAAGTAAGGCAGGAGTGCCACTAGCACGCAAAGGTTTACAGAGGGCAGAGATCAAAGATAAAGCGACGTGTTTGATGAAAGGTTAGAGAGAAGAACGGCGGTCAAGATCAAGGTATCAGATATAGATTGACATTACTCTTGAATATTTGAAGATTATAGCTATCAGGGAAGAAAGTAAGGGGAAGGGAGTTCAACAGACAGGAAGTGCGAGGGAGGAATCTGCTTGAGTAGAAGAAATGTTTACATTTAACCGTTTCGATAGTGAAAGGGTGGAGCCGAGATGCTAGCCTAGTAGTTCGCAAAAATTCATGCAGTCTGGGAACCAGCGAAAGTATCTCGTAGGAACAGTTGCCGTGAAAATACGTGTAGAAGAGACAGAGGGAAGCCACGGCACGTCTGCGAGAAAGCGTCTGTAGACGAGATGCCAGATCAGGACCTATCGCATTGCATACACGTCTCTGGATTTTGTCGAGGACCTCGTGACGTACAGCGGGAGCACCAAACTATATATGACAGCAATATTCCATGCAAGGAGGGATGGTTGATTTAGAGATTTGAAGGTGGGACTCAGACCAGAAAAAACTTTCTGGCACAAGACAGAGGTGCTCTTCTGTCAGTATAACTTTCTAACAGACTATCAAAAGATTTTGCATAACATATTAAATATAGACATAAATCATTCTTTTGTTCCTTTGTATTGTTTTTTTATGATATCATTTTCAGTATAAATATAATATTCCTTGTTCCAGCGCATTTCACGAACCTTGTTCTTTACCAGTTTAATTCTGCTACGAGCTCTATTCATCGAAATTCGGAAGATATGTTTTTTATATGGCTCATGAGGCTGATTATCCGATGGAGTTTACATTATTTGCACCTATGTTCTAAGGCAAGGCTTAGAAATTGAATGCCCCTAGATCTTCTATATATATATATCACCAATCTTGTATATTTTATTTTCTATACCGGTAATCTTGTGACTGCCAAAATTATCTCAAGATGCCAGCATCTCTATAACAATTCCATCTGGATCTACTACTTCGCTCTTGTACAATATGGCCACTGTTGATTTCACTTCATATTTTAATATTTCTAGTCCTTTGATATTTTGTTTGTTGCGAGATATTCTCTTTCGTGGTGTAGTAGTTCTCTGATTTATACGTTCCATCTTTGAAGTAATTTTCTTTCTCTATTCTTCGTTTCCGGTCCTAGTTTTTTTTTATGCAGCCTCTTGATAAGCCTGGCTTCCAGAGACTTGGTCATGACACACACTTTGAAATTACATACCAAATGAGAAGTCAAATGTAGACACTGACATATATATATATATATATATATATATATATATATATATATATATATATATATATAAAAGTGTGTGTGTTTCTTACAAAACATACATATATTAGGGACACAGAAATATTTGCGTTAGTTTCGACGATCATTTTAAGCAGCGAAGGGTTATTTAGAGTTTGTTAAGATATTCATCTAGAACACTTTTATATAAAAGGAGCCAGTGTTAAGCCGGCTTTCTTGCTACTGTCCATCTCTGAAAAATATGACTGTGATGGTGCGAATCGTTGTCGCGTTGTGCAAGCTGAATTTGACTATCATTTTTGACGGTTATTACTAACAATTTATTATTACTATTTTTCTTTAAATTCCAGCTGGTCTGGTAAATTGTCGACGCGTACAGTTCTGACTACGTGAAAATGTCAGCGATTTTCATGCTCGTTAAGTGAATAAACGACCATCTCGAGTTAATGAACACTTGTCTGAAAATAAGCATATTTTATAATTCATCGTTTCGTCTAAGACGGGATTCGCCCGCCAAATTTTGTAGTAGTAAGATTTTGATCGGGCCGAGAACATTTCAGCACACCATTTAGAATGCAGATGGATTGTTTGGTCCGCTTTCTAAGGTTTAATGGGAGAGTGTTATGGAGAAAAGGTTTATTCTCACATTTATTTATCTTATTCTTGGTATTATTATATCCATGATATAATAACACAATATTTTACAGACTGAACGGAATGGCTGAATGGAAACGGAAGGACAAACATACTTTTTCCTCAGAGAGACTTTTATACCATTAAGGCATACATAAAACCATATATATACATATTTACACGTGTCCCGCATAGAGAAAACATATAACATATATCTACACAACAAGCAGATTGAAAGGAGAACGAAAATATAGGGTTTTAGATATAATATGAAGATGATTCTATGTTTCTGGAGAAGACATGTTTAGAAACCCAGGTTCAAGCAGACCGGATGCAGCTACTATGTCGCAAAAGGATACCTATTCTGCGAAAAGGAACCGGCTTTCCTAAACTGAGGACTACTCGCCGGAGATAGATTATTTTTATTCTTACGAATTCGCAACACATTAATATATGAAGCCCAGGTAAAAAAGTAAAGAAAAGAAAGATGAGTTCGCTCAAATAGGAACGCACAAACAGGTACCGACGAACAACAAACACAAGATTAACATTTGTAAAAATATATAAAAGATACAAAATATGGGAAAAAGTATGGAGTGACTTACGTACAATTAATAAATGAACATTTATCTGGTTTCATGAATTTGGAGTTCAAATGTTCATAATAACAAACAAAGTTGTTGTAGAATGTCCACACAAAAGTTGATTGTTCTTTCTTCCGCAATGTAAAATATTAGATTCCGGAATAATATTTGTGTTCTGCTTCCCCTTGGATAAATAATTTATGATTTCTTTGGGTATAATATTCCTTTGTATACAATATTTCTTTGTATTTCTTTGAGTACAATATCCCTTTAAATCCATTAAATAGTCAAATAGATCCAAGATCTTGGGGATCAAATTTCTTTATTCCTTACATAACAAATAATGGAATAGATTTGTGGGTGCATTTCTCATGATCGCATAAGTGTCGATTTTTCTTGCGAACTTTTGCGGTCGGTGATCATCGGAAAAAAGAAATTACAATACCGTATTCCCATCTGGTGATGTATTGTTATTTGTTATAATAGGTAACCAATTTTTCCTCACTACCTTAGGAGGTCATTCTGTTTATTTTCCAGCAACCCCAAATTCATTTCACGCCCTTTCGTTGCCGAATCAAGACTCAGTCTAAATAGCAAGTAAAACAAGAAAAAAAAGAGAAAGAGAAGAAACACAAAGACAGCGCATTTATTATTAAATTGATTATACGTCTGATTTAACAGTTAAGACTGAGGACCATGCCATATCAGACTATATCAAAGGAAGAGATTCTCAAAGGTAAATGGCGTCATGAACTAAGAAGTTGTACTATGTACTGGAGGAGGCCTGATTTAGACGCAGCTCGGGCCAAGAGGGGTGGGATAAAAATAAAAGCAGCTGCTCTGTTTGACTCCTTTAAACCGAATGAAAGACTGCTGCTTTCGTCACTGTATGTAATGACGCCACTAAGCTGCAGTCACGTGACCCACTGAACTTTATCTCGATCAAAGGAAGATAGTCGTCTTTTGTATTCTTACAGTCTTATCTCTCCTTTTCAGGTCATTTAAAGACAGAAAATATATTTAAGCACTTTTTTTAGATAATAAAGATTTAGGGATAAATGTATTACTAGCTGGGAGGAGAATAGGTAGATTCATACTTTTCCCAAAAGTATTTGCGCTAGGTCAATGTGACGAACCCAACTGAAATTGAAATTCGATTCTCCGATTAACAGAACCATTATCCGTTATATTACCCGAACTTCCAATGTTCCAACAGCCGGTATTTCCAAAGTGGTAATTCATCTAGGTACTGACCGGGCTCAACGTTGCTTAACTTCGATGATCGTACAGAAAACGGTGTTTCAAAGTGATATGGCCGTAAGACATTTAGAATACTTGAAAAGGCGTAATCCCATGTAAATATGTACTTAATTAAATAGGAGAAAACAAGTTTTCTCATAGCTTCATTTGCCACTCGAGTTAAGATATTAATCTTGTAATCCCATGAATGGAGAATGTTCTGAAATGTCTGTAAATGCAGGGTCTTGCAATTAATATTGTCAGACCAGCAAATACCAAGTTTCGGCTTGTAGGCACGAAGTTGATTAGCTTTATGCTCCAGTTGATATCGATGAGCCATCGAAATCAAAGTACACTCGCGATATATCAGTCAATATCGATTCATGAACGATCGTTTATAATGTTTGATTTATATGTGCGTTTAAATTGCTCCATTCATGTAATTTGACCTGTTTCGTGTGACCAAGATTTGAAAGTCAATCCAAATGCCAATGAAGTAAAACCATCGCTGTAGTCAAAATCGATTATCGAAATCGGTGAGCGCATAAAAATCAAACGCGACAAAGGTAACAACAAGGCAGATCGATAAAAAATAAAATAAAATAATCTCAGGATTTGATGAAAGCCAAAAGAAATGAGTGGAATTGTACGTTTTGATATAATCTGGAATTAGTGCGTTTTTACAACAACAAAAAAAATTAAAAATGCTATTTTAATTATCGTGGTTTGTTCACAGAATTTTATTGTTCCTAAAGAGATCCTTTTGATTTTTTTTTTTAGGTTTCACATTAAATAGAAAATTTATTATTCGAAGTTTAATTTCGGTGAAAGACCACAGGAATGAACCACCCAGTGATTGTAAACATCATCTAATACATAGATTTTGGTGCATTATGCCAAAGTATTTTTATAACATATTTTTGCCAACGATCACACCAAACCACATGAATACGTTGCCCAGTGACATTTGATATAACCAATATTAATCTCTGATGCACAGATATTTGATAATCTTATCACAGTATTTTGCAGATAAATATTTGCTAACAGCTAAACCAGATCGTGAGGTTTTCGATTTGGTATGTTTAAATTTTATGTAAAATGGATAACGATTCAGATTGAAGAATCGGAGAGCCGAGTTCGAGTTCCAGTCAAATCTATTACGTTCACTTACAGGCTACTATGTTTGGAAAAGGTATGAATCCTCTAAATCTCAGGACAGAGCTTGGATGGCAACTGGTCTACAATAGAAATAAATGGCAACCAACTGCGGGAAAAAATCTGCTGCGTCAGTCATGTATCGAAAGATACATGATCGCTTAAGCGTGTATCACGTATGGCACATTACTGACATAACTGATTGATTTTAAAATTTTTGTATATTATGGGAAATTACATCAGTAACGCCCTGCACATAGTTTACTGAATTTTTACAAGATTGAATAATGTTTGATCTTACTATTAACAACTAAATTGAGGGCATTGACACGGAAGGAGATTATGTTGAAAATTAATCATTGCTATTTCTTTTATTCGTTATTTGTCTGCTATCGGCATACCAACGCACAGATAGATAGATAGATAGATAGATAGATAGATAGATAGATAGATAGATAGATAGATAGCTACTTATGTAAATATATATATATATATATATATATATATATATATATGAGACAGCAATATTTTCCAAATCGTGTAACAGGAAAATTGTACAATTATTAGATTACCTTCGAACCGCTGTAACTTAGAAATGATTAAACTTATTTTACTGGAATTCTCAGTGGTTCTTACGAAATGTTGCGAAATTAAAGAAAAGATTAATAATGATTATTGTGCTACCACGTACTATCCTGATCACACCAGATAATACGCTCTCTTCTAGAAAAACTAAGGTCAGCTCAACATCGTCGTAGTAAAAAAATAAACCACTGATGGGCTTTATCAATAAAATTGTCTAAATAGTGTAACAGCATAACTGTCCATCCGTACAAAATGTTTAATATTTAAAAAAATAAATAAATAAAATAAATTAATTGAGTTTCTTTTTTCCTGGTTTTAAGATAAGACGTTTAGCCATCTTGAAACAATTTGTCGTAAGAATCACTGAAGTGTCTTTGAGTTATTCAGCTAGAAACAGAATATGTTAAATTCGTTCAACCATCAATTGAACGGTGAAGAAATTTAAAAAAGAAGAAACCGTAGAGAATAAATCTGGATCAGTAGGTCACAACAGGAAAAGGGATCATCATTACAATTTACAGTGAAAGAGATCAATTAGAAAAGATCGAACTCAACCCATAAGTTATTTGGCACGTGAGAGAGACGTTTTAGCTCTGACAGTCCGGAGAGTAGTGAAAAATACTTGAAAATGAAATCGTATGTTAAACATGTGCGGCATTTTGGTACTCCAGGACAGAAAGTTAGAAGATTAGAGAGGGCGAAGATCCTCTTGAATAAGTTTGAAAATGATTATGGATTATATATATATATATATATATATATATATATATATATATATATATAAACTTAATTTCAATCCTACATGAGCTTCTGATCCGTAGCTATGATTAATTAATGATGAACATGTCATTTTCTTTTTTATTGATTTCATCAGCATTCTTCTATTAATCTTGCAGAATAATTATACCTTCTTATGGCTCAAAGTTTGAGAAAAATAGTGTTATAAAGACGTCTGAGAATTCCAGTAAGATATCTTTAATCGATTCTAAGATACAACAATTTATAGCTTCATCTAACAAATAGATAATTTTGGTGTTAGACGATGTGGATAATTTTGTTGTATATATATATATATATATATATATATATATATATATATATATATATTTTTCATATCGACAGAAACAATTTACTCACTAGAAAAATGCAACTTCGTTTCGATGTAAGTAATTGCAATTCAACTGGTGAGAACCAAAATGATTACCTTTGTGGTGAGAACTTCGCATTCTCTGTCAAATCAATACTTATATACTTGCATTTCATATATAAAACCAGTTGAGATCTCTAGACACTTTCCCCGGCGTAGATGTGTATATGAGCTAGTATCCCTGTCTCTCTCTGTCTCTATCTCTTCACACACACACACATATATATATATATTGAGAGAGAGAGAGAGAGAGAAAGAGAGATCTTTCTCTCGCTGCATATATATCCGCCTGTATATGTGCAAGTATTTATACGTACATGTTTTTAATGTATATATCTTACAGTCTAAATGTTGTTAAATCAAGAAGCGAAAACTTTTTTTCTCTCAAGGCTTCTTTCTTCAATGAGGAGTTTGAAAAATGCTTTTTTATGCAGAAAACTAAACGCCACCAAGAACTAAGTTTTGGATTAAAACGTTTAAAACGAAACAGAAATATACCGGCAGTCTTATATGCTCGGTTTGAAAGTGACAGCCAATAAACTTGCGTTGCATATTTCACCAGCAGCTACCTATATAAATTGCTTGCAGGTTGAACAGAAAAAAATTGGCAACTATTGAAGCATTTGCACGAATTTTCTGAATCAGGAGAAATAAAATCAAAATTTATTCCACTGGTTATTTGTTATTATTTATTTATTGATTGATTATTTTCATCACTCCGATACAACACATTTCGTAACACATAAGACATTAGATAAGTATTCTTCAAATTGCCAGGGTTCCAGATATGGGCAAATAGTGAACTCCCGAAAAAAATCCCAAGGAATGCTTAAATATAAATTTTTATATTAAAACTACCAGCATTACATTTTATATAAGGGAATTACCAACAATGCACACAGACAAACAAATTGCAGCGGCACCATCGACACCCATTTAAAATACTACCAAAAACCAACATGGAAGGACTATTTTATGACATGAATCGATATAATATCCTACAATTTCTTAAAGAAATCAAACTGTATCCCTAAATATAACTTCAACAAAACTACAACATAAAGACACAAAATTCCGCCTCTAGAAATCATGTTCACGCAAACATGCATATGCACAAAAACCGAGTATCATATATCATGCAAATATTTACTTTGACTCCCCATTGAGACGGGATGTGTCACAAGGTTGAGTTTAACTATGGGAACTTCTGCGTGTACACCCGGACGAAGCACTAAAATTGACCAGTCATCACAACCGTCGCTGGCAAAGTTATGACGACCGACCTCTCCTTTATAGTGAAATGGGAGTGGTTCGGCATTGGGCAGCTGTTCCCCGTGACCTCGCACCTTGTAGTAATTATTTTCTTCAGTTGTGACTCTATCCGCTGACAGACCTACAAATGTGTGGCTCTATACACGAAGACAGAAATGAAACCATATACCATGTATTTGGCATTGAATAACCCTTAACTTGTTGATATGCAGTTAAACAGACAAATCAATCAATCAAAAGGTATTCTCCTCGTATGGATGTCGGTAAGCATCAAAACCACTATGTAATCTTCCTGAAAATGAAATCCGGTTATAACGACTGAAAAGTTCAAAATAGATGCCAACATTCTCGATGATGGCGGAAAAATTTAATCCAGACCTCAAATGGTAATCGCGCATACGATCTATTTCTGAAGATGCTGTAAAATTGCATGGTTCTCTGTATCACTCCAGTAAATACCTGACTCCTTCTACTGTGCTCAATCTTTAGAAGAGTCAGGTCGAGTGAGTGAGCTGGCCAGCCTTCTCATTTCAGTTTCGATACGTCCAAAAGTGTTCCCGTTGACGTGTGGATGATGACTAACTTTCCAATCTACAATCCGTTTTCCACAGACGAATCGTTGCAAACCTATCGCTTCTCAATCGATACTTCAATGGAAAGGATCTAGACGAACTACATTACTTTGTTCTAGGAGTTCTAACCTTCTAAAACCCGACATGTTACACACATTTTAGTGAACTCTTGGTATTCCACACGTAAGACGTAATTTCCACTCAAACAGCTTCTTCCCTCGAACTGCTGATTTGTGGAAGAGGATGCTTCTCCGATCACTTGTTCATATGTAGAGTTAACCGTTATCTTACGCAAATATCTCCATAAACTCTGCCTTTAATCTTCGGACTTTATAACCCTCTACCTCA